GTTTTGTTAATGTCAGTTCAAAGAGCTGTGTGTCGTTGGGTCTCGTAAGATCAGGTGAGTTTTTCACAATTTGCTAAGGATCGATAGGAGTTTGGTAGCATTTAGATATTGTTCCCAGCGGGATTATTCACGATTATATTTATTTCTATTGATGGTAGAGGCAAACGAAGGCTTTATAAACATAAAACTCTAGATAAAATACGCGGGAAGGTGTAATTTCTTTGGTGCCAATAACTGTCTTTTATAAAATAGAAAAAAATAGTGATTGGCCCATGGGGCCAATGACTGGGTTTTGGTTATATTTTTTATTAAAAAGCGCAATCTTGTTGAAAGCCATCAATCTAAAATTTTAAACAATAAATGACTTGAAAAAAAAGTTTGTTTGTGACCTAGACAGTTGTTGGCCCGGTGCCAATCATTATATGTAATATGTGCCAATAACTCAATGTTTTACATAATAATGCCGAAGGTAGTAAACTCAGAGCCCTGCCAGAAAAAATATTCAGAGGAAACTCTTAAAATAGCCTTAGAAGAAGTTGAAAATGGTGCCAGCAAGAAGGCCGTGGCCAAAAAATATAATATTCCTAGATCAACCTTGCAATTCAGGAAAAGTGCAAACTTCTTCAAAATATCTCACGGACCTCCACCAATTTTAACGCCGGCAGAAAACAGCTCTTGGTCAAATGGGCATAAGATTCCGTGAAAAAAGGTTTTCCTCACAGAAAGGAAGACATACAAACAAATTGTTAAAAATTTTCTTGACGAGCATCCTCGCCTAACGCTCTTTAAAAATAATTGCCCAGGAGACGGGTGGTACAAGAGCTTTTTGCGTCGAAATCCTTCTTTAACTGAAAGGCAGACAGAAGCAGTAACATCGGCAAGTGCCAACGTTAGTGAAAATAATATACGAGGTTGCTTTGCAAAAATTGAAGCTTATTTAACAGATGAACAGCTGTTGGATATTTTTAAAGACCCGAAGAGAATTTTTAACAGTGATGAAACCAACTTTCAACTTTGCCCGAAAACAACAAATGTGGTTGCACCAAAAGGGTCAAAGAACGTCTATGAGGTCGATAGAGGGCAGGCAAAATCAAATATCACAGTATTATTCACGTTTTCTGCAGCTGGAGGAACTACACCACCTTTAATAGCATTATCGGAAAATGGGTGGATGAAATCGAACATTTTTTATGAATATATTGGAAATATTTTCTACAAATATCTTAATGAGAATAATATGGTACTTCCAGTGATTCTATTTGTAGATGGACACACCACACACCTTACTTT